GACCTGGGCTGCAGCCTCCTCCACCTGGAGGCTCTGGGGCTGATGGTGATGGCCTGGACCACTGTGAGGAGACTGGTGGTGCAGATGGACAGGCCCCGGGCCACCCTGCTGAGGTAAACCACCACCTTACAGGCTGTATCATCTACGAGGCTTCTCAACCCCAAACTGGATACTGTCCTTGGCACGCCTCTCGTAAGAAGTGTTACCATGTTTGTAAAAGCCAAGTGGATGAGAATGAGGTGGGTAGRTTTCATGGTGCTTCTAAACAAGGCCATATAGTTCACAAGAACAAGGACGTTCCCCACAACGCCAAGTCCTATGAGAAACACAAAGATAGTCCCCTTGACAACATTCAACACCATTTCTTAATTACAGGMAGATATGCTTGGACGTAGGAACACCTTTTGAAGAAAGAAACATTAATGATAATACGTATCTGCAAAGAAATATTTCACAGCTGAAATTCCCAGAGTGTAAAAACAATCAGTTTAAATGTCATGGTGGAGATTTTGTTCAAAATAATATTTCATTTTCTGTAATAGTTTGAGGAACATTCTACATCATTTAAAACACCATCTTGAGGACTATTATTCAAAACAATAAATTGTTAACCCTGAATTTTTATAAGCTCCATATCATCAATAACAAGCTTGGATGTATCCTTGGTTTCCCATCTATGTTCAACCTCAGCATGGATACATTAAACCTGTACTCCCCCAATCAGAGTTCTCCCTGTTCTTTATAAATTTCATTCTATATATTCTTATATTGCAATGCAAAAGTTGTAGATCATGCTTGGTCTTTCATCCCCCCAATATCCCATGCACAAGAATTTTTAAAGTCCAGTTGCTTCAATGTCTTTAACAAATGTAAACATGGCCACATTTCAATTTCTGCACAGTCTGTTGCTTGGTTCAACGTCCCCTTCTGTCTCTTATTTGGGTCAGCACCACAACTCTAGGATTGCTTTTGCATCACGGTTTTCCATCTTTGATGAGGAGAGCTTTTCCCTCTGTGTTCTCCTACACACAACAGGACTCTGTGGTTTCCCTACTTACTCATTCTCAGAGAGTCTCTGTAGTTCTATGTTGGAACCAAACTCCAAAACCTTTACAGAAGGAATGAACAGGTAAAGTCGAACCTGTCATGAAGACATGAAGGAATGAAATCAGATTATGGATGGCATGCAGCTAGCACGGGTGCTCACGTGAGCCAAGGATTACTGCTCTGCCAGGCTCTGCAGCCAAGGGCTGAGTTCCTCTGACAACCTCAAGGAGCTCTAAGAAATCCTGGGTCTGTTCTGCATGTGAYGGTGTTCATCAAAGGGTCAGCTGTGGGACCACCTGCTGCCGCTGCCAGGAGATGWGTCAGTGTCTGAATTAGGAATCCCCAGGAAAGCCTCCTGGTGGAGAAGTGGGTTGGGAGACACTGGGCACACATCACTAAGCATTGTCCAGCCCCACAGAACCTTGCTGGGAACAAGACTTCAGTCAATTCTGCAGCCTGCTCTAGCTGGGCTGGGTTTTGGTCTTGGTTTTGGTTTGGTTTGTTTTGTTTCTGTTTATTGGGTTTTTTCCCCACCTAGTCAACAATTGGGCTGCTGGATTTCCCTGCAATCCTGGACAGGATGTTGCATTCTCCTGTTAGATTTCCAATCTCAAGTCTCACGTAAGAACTTATGTTAAATATGGTCAATTTCTCCAGAAAAAAAGAACCCAGGAAACTAAAAAATCCCTAGGATCTGCATGTGTTGTGTGTGCATGGAATGCAGTTCTAAATCCTATCCCCAGCTCCTGCTGTTCATTAAAAGATTGCTTTAGATTCCTCTGCTGAGCCTCCCTGGCAGCTTGAAGGGCAGGAATACTGGTTGTGCCCTTGAATTCAGAGAGATTCAAGATTCCCTTTCCAACTCTGTTTCCTGCACTAACAAATGGGGAGAATAAAGCCTGCACCCATGCCTTAGTGTAAACAGCACAGAATCCTGAATATGTGCTGTGCAACACCTTATGACACAAGCTTTAATGATCCAGGAAGAGCAGCTTCAACTAGTACTGCGCTCAGTGCACATCATGGCCCAGAGGACATAGCAAATATTTTCATATTGCTTGTACATTTCTAATTTTTCTCATATTTTCAGCCCACTCCCATCTTTCCAAACCACACAGCCCTGCATCAAACTTGGGAGGCACTTCTGAGACATACAACTCCCTTCTCTTTCACTGTGACAAAATGAAATGAAGAATGTCAGAGGAGAGCTTTKCATTATTCCAGATTGACTGCACAGGTACAGACTAAAATGGCTCTAAAAGGTAGGTCATGCATTCAGAGAAATATATCATCCCCACCTGGCAGTAACACCCAGTGAGCTAGGTAGGTACATGCATCCACCCAAGGGGTAACTTGCCAAGATAAATATGTGATTGGTGGTCCTCGGTGCATGATATGAACTAAACTTGAAGAAATAGTTCTGGAATTTTAATATCAAACAACCTAATGAAAACACACTGAAATTCAAAAAGAGACACTGTGATTTTAAGTACTAATTGTGTTTAGTAGGCACGCTAACAGACATCTGAAGCATAAATTTGACTCACAAGTATGATCTAATGTTATGTTTGAGGACAGTTTCAGGTTGGATGTCCCCAAAATGCCTTCACATTAAACACAACGCACTTACAGACACAGAAACATGATACAAGAGAAACAGCTGAATAACACACCATCATCTAGTTGCAGTGGTCCCACGGAAGTGAAGAGTGTTCTCAGAATCTTCACAGGTCGATATCGAGGCTAAAGACACAGCTTTTCTAAAGGCAGAAGGAGAGTCTGACTTCTGTCTTCAGGACCCGCCACGGAGCTCTCTGATGAATCCAGATCCCAACACAGGTCCAAGCTGCTCCCGTGTAGCTGAGGGACATCTGGTATAAAGGCCCTTCGTGTTTCCGCCCAGGTGCAAACCTTCAGATACCAGATGAAGAAGGAAGGTCCCAGGATCACAGGCTCTCAGCACCCCCTTGCTCAGTCTCAGGGAGTAAGGTCTGTGCTGCTGAGGGGACGTCACAGGTGCCTGGGAGCAAGTCAGACCCTGGGCCCACTCACCTTGGTGGCTGTGCTGCTGACCACTCTGTGACGGTCCTTCTGACAGGGTGCAGCTTCCCAGGCTGTACTTGTGCCTCCGGGATCTGTGGGGCTCTTGCCTACCACAAGCCACCACCAGGACCCCAGCTGTCACAGTYGACAGCTCTCAGGGAGAGGCCAACCCTCTGCAGAACCTCAGTCCCTGGAGGACGGCTTTCACTCCCCTCCACAATTACTCTGTATGTTGGGCTCAGAAGTTGTCTCAGTCTTAATTGGGGCTTAATTATCTTAATGAAAGTTTCTGCAGTTTGAAAGTGAACAACCAGCCACATCTGAGGTCCCATTTATCCTTCCCTTCCCCTTCCCAAAAGTGCACAGATGCATCCAAACGGGGCCAGCTTCCCAGACCCAGAGGATCAAGGTTCCTCATTCTCAAGGCCTTGTCCATGCACAGGGATGTGGTACCTGATGTCAGGTTTTAGGGACTCTGAAAACACAAGGTGAACCCAGTGGTTAGATACACCCACAGTCTCCCTTTCAAAAAACCAACCTGCCATCACAGAAATGCAAATCAAAATCACAGGGAGATTTCACCCCACCCCAGTTAAAATGGCATTTTTCAAGAATACAAATCATAGCAGATTCTTTCAAATATGTGAAAAAACAGGCACATTCATATGTTTTTTTTTTTGTAGGACTAAAAATTAGTATGACCATGCTCGTAAGYGGTATGAAGATTGTTTAAATATATAAAAATGAACCACCATATGATCCAGCTACAATGCTCATTGCTATTTATTCAAAAAACTAAAATTRAAATAGTATAGTGATGCAAGTGCATCAATATTCACAGCAGCACGATGCACATGACCATGTTAAGGAAACACCCTGTGATCACCAGCAGATGAATGCACCAAGACCATGAGGTGCCCAGACACAATGGGGTGCTACTCAGCCATGAAGAGGAATGAAACCGGGCACTGTCTGGAGATGGACAGAACTACAGAACGCCAGGCTACGTGATGTAAGCCAGACTCAGAAAGGCAGGGGGTGAACACTGCACTTTATATGTGGAAACTGGAGCAAAATCAGGGGGATGGGCTGGGCAGACCCATGAAAATAGAAAACATGACTGTGGAGCAGAGGACAGGACTGGGGGAGAGGGATGCGTGGGGAACGGCAGGCGCAGCGGGATGAGCTGGCGTGACCATGCCGTGTGCTCCTGTGGAGGTGCAGTGAGTTTCATGCTGTGAGTCTCTAGGGCACAAGGTGGTAGGACATGAATAAGAAGGAGGAAGTGAGCAGAGGACAGARAGGGGAAGAGGGGGTGGAGGAGGGAGCAGGAGGCCACGTGGGGAAAGGCACCCAGGCAGGTGGCTGGGTCAGGGGCCCTGTGAGGGTGACCATGACGCACTCATAAAATGCTTTCAAACTCCACGTCTGCGCTGTTCCTGGGGGCATTTGTGTGATCCGTCTACACCAGGAAGCTCCCCATGTCACTGAGGCTCCCAATGCCTGGGGGCTTTTCAGTCCCTGCAGCAAGGGATCAAAATAAAGGTGCCCAAGGGCTGAGGGGAGGTGAGGGCAGCTTCCTTTCTGCAGAGGAGAGAGCAGCTGGGGCTGGTCGGGGCCGCAGGCTCCTGGCCACYGGGCCTCCTCTGTGCCCTGAGGGACTCATGACCTGGGGATGCGCCCTGCACACATTAGGGACTGGAACCCTGGGCCACACCTGGAAGCCACCTGAGTGACGGTCCCTGGTGTGGAAGGGAGACCCAGGCCTGCATGGTGGAGTGGCCACTCAGGGCACTTGTGAGCTCAGACACAGAGTGAAACAGAGCCATGAGCAGTGTTCCCTGGTACAAAAGCAGCACTAAACCCTGAGACATTTGATAGGGGATTTTGTGTGTGAACTTGCAATTTGGCCTGAGTTTAAGATGTACATAAATTATTGTAAAAGCCATGACGTGATCTCAGTAGTTTGGAATCCAGGCCTATTTCTATTAAGGCGGGTGTCAGAGGAACATTCACAGCACTGTGATCAACCCCCCAAAAATATAGAAAAATACCAAATAAATTAACATGACATCTCACACCACAATCAGAAGAAAACAGAAGACAATTAATATCAGAGCCAAAAATTAGTGAGATTGGGAATAACAAACAATGCAACAGGGCCTGGGCCTGGGGCTCGCCGTGGAGCACTTGCCTGGCATGTGTGGGGCACTGGGCTYGATTCTCAGCACCACATGTAAACAGATAAATAAATAAAGTTCCTTCAACAACT